GTGGTTCTCCATTTGCATATCTTCTTTGGAGAAATGTCTATTCAAGTCTTTTACCTATTTTTAATTGTGTTTTTGTTGAGTTGTAGTTTTTTAATTATTCTGGATATTAACCCCTTTTCAGATTTGTCATTTATAAATATTTTCTCCCATTCTGTGGGTTGCCTTTTCACTCTGTTGATTGTGTCCTCCAGTGCACAAAAGTTTTTGATTTTCATGAAGTCCAATTTGTCTACTTTTTCTTTTGTTGCCTATGCTTTTGGTATCATCATAAAAAATCATTGCCAAATCCAGTGTCATGAAGATTTTCTCTGTGTTTGCTTCTGGAATATTTAGGTCTTAACATTTAGGTCTTTGATCCATTTTGGGTTAAATTTTGTGTACGGTGTAAAATAAGGGTCTAACTTTATTGTTTTGCATGTGGATATCCAATTTTCCCAGCACAATTTGTTGAAAAGTTGTTCTTTCCCTATTGAAAGCTCTTGCATCCTAGTCAAAAATCATTTGATTGTATGTGTGAGGGTTTATTTCTAGGCTCTCTGTTTTCTCTTCCATTGGTCTGTATGTCTCTCTTTATGCCAGTACCACACTTTTTTGATTACTATTGCTTTGTAGTAAGTTTTGAAATCAGGAAGTGTGAGACCTCCAACTTTGTTCTTCCTTTTTGAGATTATTTTGGCTATTTAGGGTCCATTGAGATTCCATGTACATTTTAGGATCAATGTTTCTGGTTTTTGAAAAACATCTTTGGGATTTTGAGAGGTATTGCCTTGAATCTGTAGGTAGCTTTAGGTAGTATGGACATCTTAACAATATTAACCCTTCTGATCCACGAACATGGCATGTCTCCATTTACAAGCATACCTTAGAGGTATCGTGGGGTCAGTTCCAGACAATCACAGTAAAGTGAATATCGTAATAAAGCAAGTCACATAAGTTTTTTGGTTTCCTAGTGCATATAAAAGTTATGTTTATGTTTCACTGTTGTCTATTAAGTGTGGAATAGCATTATATCTAAAGAAACAATGTATATACCCTAATTTAAAAATACTTTATTGCTAAAAAATGCTAACCATCATATCTGAGCCTTCAGGGAGTCGTAATCTTTTTGCTGGTGGAGGGTCTTGTAAAAAGCGCAGTATCTGCAAAGCGCAATAAAGCGAGGTATGCCTGCATTTATGTCATCTTTAATTTCTTTCAGTGGTGTTTTGTAGTTTTCATTGTATGTGTCTTTCACCTCTTTGGTTAATTCTTAAGTATTTTATTTTTTTTTCTTTTCAGTTTGTTCACTGTTAGTGTTTAGAAATGCAACTGATTTGTGTGCGAACTTTGTATCCTGCTACTTTGCTGAATTTGTTTATTAGTTCTAACAGGTTTTTTTTGTGTGGAGTCTTTAGGGTTTCTGTGTATAAGATCATGTCATTTACGAACAGGTAATTTTACTTGTTCCTTTCTAATTGGGATGTTTTAAATTTGTTTTTCTTGCATAATTGCTCTGGCTAGAGTGTCCAGTACCATATTGACTAGAAGTGGTGAAAGCAGGTCTCCTTGTTTCGTTTGTGATCTTACAGGAAAGCTCTCAGTCTTTCATCATTGAATATGATGTTAGCTATGGGGTTTTAGTATATTGCTTTTATTAGGCTGAAGTAATTTCCTTCTATTCCTAGTTTGTTGAGTGTTTTTATCATGAAAGGGTGTTGAATTTTGTCATATGCTTTTTCTGCATCAAGTGAAATGATGATATAGTTTTCTTTGCTTCATTCTGTTAATGTAGTATATTACATTGGTTTTCATTGAACTATCCTTGCCTTCCAGGAATAAATCCCACTTGGTCATGGTGTATAATCCTTAGAATGTGCTGTTGAATTCAGTTTGCTAGTATTTTGTTGAGGATTTTTACATCAATATTCATAAAGGATATTGGTCTTTAGTTTTCGTATACTGTCTTGGTCTGGCTTTGGTATCAGGGTAATGCTTGCCTTGTAGAATGAGTTTGGAAATCTTCCCTTCTCTTCAGTTTTTTGGAAGAGTTTGAGGAGAATTGGTGTTAATTCTTCTTCAGATGTGTGATAGAATTCACCACTGATACTGTGTGGTTCTAGCCTCTTCTTTGTTGGGAGGTTTTTGATTACTGATTTAATTGCCTTACTAGTTATGGGTCTGTTCACATTTTCTGTTTCTTTATGATTCAGTCTTGGTAGATTGTGTGTTTCTTAGAATTTGTCCATTTTATCTTAGTATTCAAAAGAACACTGCCAACCAGGGAGCTCTCTTGAGCTTCAGTGTCCAGAGTGTTTTTGTTTGTTTTATTATGTAGGCATGATTGAGTGAAACATTACCCAATGTGACTCAATCTCCAGCACTCCTTCCCTTTCCAAAAGTCAGGCTGATATCATGATGGCTCAAAGCTCCAACCCTCTAATCATTTGGTCTTTCTGGCATGGCTAGCCTCCATCTGAGTCATCTCATTAGCAAAAAATATCTCAGGGTGCATAATGAGTCACCTTATTAGTATAAACTGTCAGGTGTGGTCCAAGGGGCTCACTATGAATAACAAAGACACTCCTTCCACGAGTTTAGAGGTTACCTCCTGGGAACCAGAGACAAAGGCCTGCTAAATTCTTTATTACACAGTTCTTTAAAAAAATCACAATGAGGCTCTGATTATAATTGAATGAAAAATAGATAAATTTAGTGAGAATTAATGGCTTTACATTGTTGATTCTTTATATATGAAAGCAAAGTGTGCATTTTCTCCCTTTATTCAAATTTTTTGAGGTGGGCCCCTCATTAGAATTGTAAAGCTTTTGCTCATTTCTTGTAAAGTTTATTTCTAGGGTGTTTTCCCTCTTTGTTTTTGTTGTCAATGTTAAAGGTATCTTCTGAGGTTATTTTCTTTATGCTTCCTTCTGTTGCTTTTTAAAATTGGTTCTATGGGGCCGGCTCTGTGGCCAAGTGGTTAAGTTCTCGCACTCTGCTGCAGCAGCCCAGGGTTCGGATCCTGGGTGTGGACATGGCACCGCTCGTCAGGCCATGTTGAGGTGGCGTCCCACATCCCACAACTAGAAGGACCTGCAACTAAGATATACAACTATGTACAGGGGGGGTTTGGGGAGATAAAGCAGAAAAAGAAAAAAAGATTGGCAACAGTTGTTAGCCCAGGTGCCAATCTTTAAAAAAAAAAAAAAAGGAAAATAAAATTGGTTCTAAAATTGCAACATACTACATTCTTATTTGAAAAAAATAAAGATGTACAAATAGTATATCTCCCCCAAAGCCTCTACTTTGTATTGTGTGCCTCTTATTTATCTAATGATTCATTTGTGGTGTTTTGCAAGTCATAACATATACATAATTCTTTTTAATGGTTACTTTTATTAGCCATTGTTCTTAGTATTAATTATTTTTGTGACTTTTATTGACTAATGTATTCCAATACTATTTGTGTAATTTTGGTAGTGTATTTTATTCTTTTCAGTATAAATCATCAAACAAGTTGATTTTTATTATAACCGTTAATTTAATATCACATGGTATTAATGTTCTCAGTCCTGATTTTTTTTGTTGTTTACATTTATTCCTTCTTAATCTCTTTTGCTTTCTTCTCTTTTCCCAAATATCTTAATGTTGGAGTGCTCTAGGGTTCGTTCCTGGCTCCTTTCTCTTCTCTTTATCCACACTCATTCTCTTGGTAATATAGCCTCCTTAAGTACATCTATATTCTGGGAACTCCCAATTTAAAATCTCTAGTCCAGAGCTCTCTCTTAAACTCAGTCTTATGTGTCCATCTGCCTTCTCAACATTTCCATTTCAAAGTCTAAGGATACCTTACGTTTATTATGTTCAAAACTGAACTCCGCATCTTCCCTACCTCACCACCTAAACCTGCTGTTCCCATCACTGTTGATGCCTGTTCCATCTTTCTGTTGCTCAGACCATAAACTTGGAAGGCATAATTGTCTCATCATTTCTGTTCCATTCCATATCTAATCTGTCAGAATATTTTCTTGGTTTTTCCTACAAAATACACGTAGAATCTCACTCCCTTGCTATACCTTCATTGATATCTCTCTAGTTTGAATCGTCATCATCTCTCACCTGGATTACTACAACAGTAGGTCCCTTTGCTTCTCCCCTTGCCCCTACCTTCCAGTATTTTCATTAAACCATAACTAGATATCACTCCTCTACTCAAAACACTTCAGTAGCTCTCCATCCCACTCAGAGTAAAAGCCAAATTCCTTAAGAAGCTTAAATAATCTGGTTATCCTTTGCCTCCTGACTTCATCCCCTACTACTCACTCCTCTCCAGCTACGCTCGTCTTCTGGCTATTCATCTAACAAATCAAACTTTTAGGCTATTTCTTCTGCCTAGAATGCTCTTTCTCCAAATATCTAAGTGACTAACTTCTTCATTTCCTTCAAATCTTAGCTTAAATGTTAACTTATTAATAATTCCTACTTTTGACTTCACCAACACTCCTGATCTCTTTTACTTTGCTTTTCTTTTTCTGTAGCACTTAGTACCTTCTAACATATGATAAAATTTACTTATTAAGCATGTATTTCCTGTCTCTCCCAAGAAGTAAGGTCCATGAAGGTGTAAGGATCTTTGTTTTGTTTACTGTGATATGAAAAGCATCTAGAACAGCACAAGGCTCAGTGAATCTTCTTGAAAGAAGCAACTAGAAGAATGGAGGTTATTTCAGTGCCTGTATTATTCATTTATGCACAAAATTATAGCTGAGTCCACCCCCTTCCATAATTCCTTCTTGACTTGAGATTTACCTACTGATTTTCTTATAGTTCTGATCATTCCTCCTCAAGTTTGTGTCTGACCTATTTTCAATTTCTGTTCTTGTACACTTCACAACTATGAAAGCCAATGTTCTTGTGGGTTTTATTTGCTATTAAATTCACATACTTCACTTTATGAATGTACATTCGTAAATGTACCTTCTGGTACATCAGAGAGGAGACATTTTTTTCTTATTGTTTTTCAGGCTGGGAATCGGTGTGTGAGACTGAAGAATTAACCCCAAAGCAGGACATTTATGATGCACAATCATCTCAGAAGATAATAGAAAAACTTACAACCTGTGGCCTTGACTACTCCAGTTTGAGAGAAGAATGGAAATGTGAGGCCCGTTTTGAGAGGCAACCATTGATTCATAAGGCATGTTTCAAGGAAGAGACAATCACTCGTGAAGAAGCCCTTATTGATAAAAGAGGACGAGAATATAACAAATCTTGGGGAACTTTCCATCCAAACACACTGCTTCATACACAAGAAATAATTCCCAAAGAGGAGAAAGTACATAAACATAATACACATAAGAAAAGCTTTAAAAAAAATTTAATGGCTTTTAAGCCCAAGAGTGTGTATACAGAGAAGAAACTTTTGAAATGTAATGACTGTGAAAAAGTTTTCAGCCAGAGCTCATCCCTTACTCTTCATCAAAGAATTCATACTGGAGAGAAACCCTATAAATGTGTAGACTGTGGGAAAGCCTTCAGCCAGAGATCAAATCTTGTTCAGCACCAGAGGATTCATACTGGAGAGAAGCCCTATGAATGTAAGGAATGTAGGAAAGCCTTCAGTCAGAATGCACACCTAGTTCAACATCTGAGAGTTCATACTGGAGAAAAACCTTATGAATGCAAGGTATGTAGGAAAGCCTTCAGCCAGTTTGCCTACCTTGCTCAACATCAGAGAGTTCATACTGGAGAGAAACCCTATGAATGTATTGAATGCGGGAAAGCATTTAGCAATAGATCATCCATTGCTCAACACCAGAGAGTTCATACTGGTGAGAAACCTTATGAATGTAATGTCTGTGGGAAAGCATTTAGCCTTCGTGCATACCTTACTGTACATCAGAGAATACATACTGGAGAGAGACCCTATGAATGTAAGGAATGTGGGAAGGCCTTCAGCCAGAATTCACACCTTGCTCAACATCAAAGAATTCATACTGGAGAAAAACCTTATAAATGTCAGGAATGTAGGAAAGCATTCAGCCAGATTGCCTACCTTGCTCAGCATCAAAGAGTTCATACTGGAGAGAAACCCTATGAATGTATTAAATGTGGGAAGGCTTTTAGCAATGACTCATCCCTTACTCAACATCAGAGAGTTCATACTGGAGAGAAACCTTACGAATGTAATGTTTGTGGGAAGGCTTTTAGTTACTGTGGATCCCTTGCCCAACATCAGAGAATTCATACTGGAGAGAGGCCCTATGAATGTAAGGAATGCAAGAAAACCTTCAGGCAGCATGCACACCTTGCTCATCATCAGAGAATCCATCTTGGGGAGTCACTCTCACCACCCAATCCAGTCAATCATCAAGTCCTGTAGACCCTATCTCATCAATATTTCCAGAATTTATACTTTTTCTCCATCTCTAATGTTGTCACCCTAATCTAAAATTCATCTCACCCAGATCACTGCTATAACTTTCTAACAGGTCTTCCTGTATCAACTTTTAGTCCTGTTAAATTAATTTCCCACGACGCTGATCTTTTTGAAGTGTAAGAATACATACATCATTGCCTCCAGTTAAAACTTTTTTTGGCTTGCTATTGTTCTTAAGCTAACATCCACAGTCTTTTAAAATTACCTGTGAGGTACTTCATTATCTGGTCTTATATACCTTTCAGCCTTGTTTTATTCCAGTCTCCCTCTGTGGGCACTAGGCACTTCCCAGGACTGAGAGCTTAGATTTGGAAAATCCTAGCTCTACCACTGCTGTGGCATTGTGTGACTTTGAGTAATTTGCTTGACTTTTCCAAACCTCAGGGGTTTTTTAATTTTTAAAATAGGGATAATAAAGGATACTGTATTATAGAAATGTGAGTATTAAATGAAATAGTGTCTGTTGTAGATTGATGCATATTAAGTAAGAAATTTGCATGTAAAGTACTTCACATAGTGCATCAAATATAGCAGCTATCATTATAAATAATAATAGCTCATATGTATTGAGTGCCTACTATGCACCAGGCACTGTTCTACATGCTCAGCGTATATTAACTCGTACTCCTTACAGCTAAAACAAGATTCCTTAGTGGACAAAGAACATCCCTGGGAAGCAGCAGGTCAGAATTGAGAAAACCTAAAAATTTTAGAACGTAAGTGAGAGCCTTTGTATTCTAGGTGAGTAATCAATATAGACACAAGTAGTAGAATTAATAACACTTATAATGAGTTCTAGGAAGTTTCTAAAGAGAATCAATTGAATAAACCAATTAAAATGAGGATTCACTGAGAAGAATACAGAACTTATATTTAGATCAAGAAATGAATAGAGCATATCACAATTAACTCCAAAAAACCAATAAACATGGAAATTCATACTGTCCCATAAAAAGGCACCAGGCCTAGGTAATCATATGAGTGAATCTAGGAAATGTCAAACGGATTTAAACTGTTCCATACCATAGAAAAAATATAAAGTTTATAAATTTTTTATTCAGTTTTTGTAAAATTGAAACCAAAAGGGGATCGAGGGAAGAAAACTGCAGACAAATATATACATATAGGTTTTCATTCATTCAGTGATTTTGAGTAGCTGCTATTTGCCAGACACTGTTTTAGGCATGAGGAGACAATGGTGATCAAAGACCCTGTCTTCATGGAGTTAAGCTCCAGAGGCTGAGATAGTTAATACAGGCATACCTCATTTTGTTGTGCTTCGTTTTGTTGTGCTTTGCAGATATTGCATTTTTTATGAGACCCTCCATCAGCAAAAAGATTAGAACTTGCTGAAGGCTCAGATGCTGGTTAGCATTTTTTAGCAGTGAAGTGTTTTTAAATGAAGGTATGTACATTTTTTTCAGACATAATGTTATTGCATGCTTAATAGATTACAGTGTAGTGTAAACATAATTTTTATATGCACTGGAAAACCAAAAATTTCATGTGACTTGCTTTATTGCAATATTTGCCTTATTGTGGTGGTCTGGAACCGAACCCGCAATATTTATGAGGTATGCTTGTACTTAAATATAAAACAACAGATTTTCTAGATCCAGAAAACTGAAGAGTAATAAAAAAAAGTTGAGGAGTATTATATAGCCTAGGTTGAAGAGCTGCAAGATAATTATCAGTTATTCCTAATTCACAAATTCATTGCAATTCAAACCAAAATTCCTCAGTGGGCCTTTTTGCCCTTGAACCTAACAACTTTGTTCCGAAATTCATCTGTGAAGTGTGAATTCTTAAGAACAGCAAGAAAATGATTGAATCTGATCTATGTGTAGAAATTTTGCATATGATAAAGATGGATCATATCAGTAGAGAAAGGATGGATTTGGGGGTGTTAATACAGTACTATTGGAAGTAGTTGTGTTTAGGATAATTTGGCAATATCTGGTAACATTGAAGATGTGCATGCTCTTTGACCTAGCAATTCCACACCTAAACCTCTACAGAGTCTTTCCTCCTGTGTTCAGAGAGATGTACAGGAAAGTCCACTTCAGCTTTGTTTGTGAGAATGAATTTTAAAGCAATCAAAATAACCATGAGGGTGAATATATTAGAACCCAAGTTAAAATGAATGAACTAGAGACACTTCTATCAACATGGATAAATCTTAAAAACAATACTAATGAAACTGAACCAGAGAGTGTTTTGTATGATATGATACCACTTATTTATATAAAGTTTAATGACATGCAAATCGATGCTGTGTACATTTTCCATGGCTAAATACCATATAGAAGTAGTGTAATAACATTCATGGAAATTGTCATCTAATTCAGAACAGTGGTGACCTCTGGGGAGGGAGAAAAATGAGGAAAAGATGCAAAGGGAGATAATCTTTTAATCATTTATTTCTTTAAAAAATAAGCAGATATGGCCAATTCTTATAAATCGATAAAGCTGGTTGTGGGTTTATAGGTAGGTTCTTATTCTTTGTATTTTTCCATATATTTAAGCTATTTCATAATAAAGAAATAAGGAACATTTAAATATTTACTTTTGTCAGTTATTTCCTCCTTATACCTCAGGCGTGCCACTGGTAGTCTCATCCGTATTCACCATTCTCTTCAGAAAGAAGCTCACATATAGTAGACTTCCAGATGCAATCATTGTTTTTTTTTTTTTAATTGGCACCTAAGCCCACATCTGTTGCAAATCATCTTTTTTTTTCCTTCTTTTCTTTCTCCCTGAAGCCCCCCAGTACATAGTTGTATATTCTAGTTGTAGGTCCTTCTGGTTGTGCTATGTGGGACACCACCTCAGTGTGACCTGATGAGTGGTGCCATGTCCATGCCCAGGATCCAAACTGGCAGAACCCTGGGCTGCCAAAGCGGAGCACACGAACTTAACCACTCGGCCATAGGGCCACCCCTAATCAGTTAACAATTTGGTGACTATCTTTCAATGTGTCAGTGTTTGAAAATGACTGTATTTTTACCTTGGGGGTTTTATAACCTACTCATTATGTATTTTTCCCCATCATTTTTTTCTCCCCCCAGCTTTATTGAGGTAGATTGACAAAATTGTGTGTATTTAAGGTGCACAACGTGATGGTTTGATATATTTATACATTGTGAAATGATTACCACAATCAAGCTAATTAACATATCCATCATCTCACATAGTAACCATTTTTTGGCATGTATGGTGTGAACACTTGAGATCTACTCTCTTGCAAATTTCAAGTATACAGTACATTTTTAGTAAGTGTAGTTACCATGCTGTATATTAGGTCTTCAGAACTTATAACTGAAATTTATACCCTTTGATAAATATCTCCCCTTTCCCTCATCCCCCAGCCTCTGGTAACCACCATTCTCTCTGTTACTGTGAGTTCAACTTTTTTCAGAGTTGACATATAAGTCAAGTCATATGATATCTGTCTTTCTGTGTCTGGCTTATTTCTCTCAGCTTAATGTCCTCAAGGTTCATCCATGTTGTTGTAAATGGCAGGATTTCCTTCTTTGTTAAAGGTGAACAATACTCCATTGTATATATACCCGTATTTTCTTTATCCATCTGTCTGCAGGCACTAAGTTTGTTTCCATATCTTCACTACTATGAATAACGCTGCAGTGAACAGAGGAGTGTAGATATCTGTTCGAGATCCTGATTTTATTTCCTTTGGATATATACCCAGAAATGGGATTGCTGGGTCATTTGGCAGTTCTGTTTTTAATTTTTTGAGGAACCTGCATACTGTTTTCCATAATGGATGTACTAACTTACAGTCCTACCAAAAGTGTACAAGGGTTTCCTTTTCTCCACATCCTGGCCACACTTATCTTTTGACTTTTGGATAATAGTCATCCTAACAGGTGTGAGGTGATACCTCTATGAACTTTTTGTAGTTTTGATTTGTATTTCCCTTATAATTAGTGATGCTGAATGAACATCTTTTCACGTATGTGCTGGCCATTTGTCTTCTTTTGAGAAAAGTCTTTTGAGGTTCTTTGCCCATTTTTAAATTGTATTTGTTTTTTTGCTATTGAGTTGTATTAGTTCCCTGTATATTTTGGATATTAACCCCTTATGAGATACATAAATCATATATTTTTTTTAAAGATTGGCACCTGAGCTAACAACTGTTGTCAATATTCTTTTTTTTTTTTTTGCTTTTTCTCCCCAAATCCCCCCAGTACGTAGTTGTATATTTTAGTTGTGGCATGTGGGACGCCGCCTCAACATGGCCTGATGAGCGGTGCCATGTCCGCGCCCAGGATCCGAACTGTGGAAACCCTGGGCTGCCGAAGCGGAGCATGCGAACTTAGCCACTCGGCCACGGGGCCGGCCCCAATATTTTTAATATCTCATAAGGGGTTAATATTGCCTCCCATTCCGAATATTTTCTCCCATTCCATAGTTTGCCTTTTTGTTTTGTTGATGGATTCCTTTACTGTGCAGAAGCTTTTTAGTTTGATGTAGTCCTACTTGTTTATTTTTGCTTTTGATGCTTGTGCTTTTCGTGTCAAATCCAAAAAGTCATTGCCAAGATCAATCTCATGGAGCTTTTGGCCTATGTTTTCTTGTAGGAGTTTTATGGTTTCAGGTCTTACGTTTAAGTTTTTAATACATTTTGTATTAATTTTGTGTGTGGTGTAAGATAAGGGTCCAATTTCATTCTTTTGCATGTGGATATCCAGTTTTCCCACACCATTTGTTGAATAGACTACCTTTTCTCCATTGTGTATTTTGGGTGCCTTTGTCAAAAATTAGTTGATCATACATGCAGAAATAAATCCATCATCATTGTTAATGTTTACAGAGCACCATTGTGTATGCACCATGATTTATTAATTCCCTGTTTCCAATCTAAATGCCTAGCATTTTCATGGGCTAATTACTATCGTTTCGGAACTCAGTTTTCTCAGCTGTTAAAGGGAGATAATTTTACCTTTGTCATAGAACTGTTACATGAATTTATGATACCACATATTAAATGCCTAGCAGTACTTAATGCTGGCTATTCTTATATTATATAAAATGCACAGGGGGAAGGAGAAAAACTGGAGAAGGGAAATGGTGTGTGGTTATTACAGTAGAAATGGGGTATAGACTGAAATATACTTATAGGTATGTAGCATTCGGGAACAAAGGTACACAGTAACTCCGGGTTAAAAGATGTATGCCTACATTAATTTAAGTCCTTATGGTTATAATCAGTATACAGAATTTTTGTTTTGGTGGTTTACATTTTTTAAATTATATTTTCATTATTTACAAATCAAATGGAAACACAAGCAATGAAAAATAAGAAAGAAATTGTCTTTGTCAGAACTTGAGAGAGGCCCCAGACCTACATACCTGCATGATTGAGAGTATCAACAGGAAATAGGATGGCAGAATGGAGGGGAGCACTTGTCTACCACACTCCAACCCAGTGGAGAGAAAGTTAGTAAAAGCAGTAGACAGGAGATATTGCCCTCCTCTGCTCCCCTCTTACCTCCACCCCTTAGACTGAGATGTATAGCTGTACAGCGCTATAGCTCAGGGCCTTCCAGTAGTTAAGGAAATAAGTACTGAACTTAAATACTTTGGTCATAGGTCCCTAGGATCTGCAATATCACTGTGCTGCCTAAATGCTATGCACATAAACAGCTCTGAGGTGGGCTGTACTCACCAGGCAGCCAGGTATTGAACAGGAATATGCTCCATAGGTTTTAGACTGACAAGTGGATACAAACAAGAGACTTTCCAAATTTAAACTTCCCAGTTCCTGAGGCAATTCTCTCTTCATCTACCTCTGTCTCTACTGAATGAGAAATATATTGGATCAGTAATTGTCAGAGAATAGTTAAAATAACTCTAAGCTCTTGGCTTTTGTTTGGGGTCTCTGAAATCTCTGATGGCTTTCTTAGCTATACTGAACTACCTGGATCAGCACTGCCCCATAGATAATGAGCCATATACTTTAACTTCAGATTTTCTGGTTGCCACGTTAAAAAAGTAAAAAGTTGAATTTAACTTTTAAATATTTCATTTAACAAACTATATCTAAAATATTATTTCAACATGTAATCAATATAGAAAGTACTGAGACATTTTACATTTTTAAATTCAAGCTAACCACCTTTCAAAGTGCTCAGTAACCACACGTGGCCAGTAGGTACCACATTGGACAGGTGGAACCTTTAACAAAAGGAACAGGCTGATGGAGAAAAAATGCTAAATATATGAAAACACTCCAGGGATATAAAAGATGGAGGCCAATCAGAACAAGTGACACCCAATGAAACAATTCAAAGAAAAAAGGAAAGAATTTTTCTAAAAATCCTAATTGTATTCTCAGTGCAGTAAAAAGGGAGAGTGCTGGAAATTTAAAAAAAATAAAGATATGACTCAAAGGAAAAAGAAACAGAAAATGATGAGCAGAATGGATATTGTAGACATTTTGAATATCTATCTGAAAATCAAATGGCAGGAGTACCAACAACCTCATTTGAAGAAGTAAAATGTCCGATACTATCAGGAAGGGAAGGGAGCTCAACCTCACCAATGAGTGCAGGATCCTGTGTCTGTCTGTCACTCACTGTTTCTCTGGGTGCCTTGCTGTTGTGTAGGAAACCAGTGAAAGAACTAAAAGCAGGAACAGGTAAAAGAGGTTGTCTCACAGAGGCAAGAGTGTAAATAAAATCCCTTTGAAGAGTAATTTGGCAATCTTCAAAAATATGAAATGCAAATACTGCAATCCATGTCCATATGTGCGTATATCTTGTATGTTATAAATAAACATAAGGGAAAATTCACCCTTAGCAGTGAAAATTAAATATAAATTGATATAAAAGGCACATGAAGAAAGAAAACTGGATAGATAACCAAGTATAATATGATTAAAATAGTATTTTTAAAAATAAAGGTTTTCATAATTCTTCATTTCTCCAAGAGGAAACTTCCCGTCATTCCTGCTTACACTCTTCTGTTCTTGTCATTCTACAGAAATATTTGTCACCAAGGACCATTTTTCTTTTTGTAATTCCAAAGGTCTAGGCTCTCCCTTTCTAAGTCTGGTTCTCTTCTAAGTCTCTTGCATGTGCCATTTTCATCTTTCTTCTTGACAGCTAAAACCATATTGTCTTAGTTCTTATATTTCCTTAGAAACCCTTAGCTCTTCTCTCTCAGTGTTCTCTCTTCATAACTGATTTCATGACCTCTCAGTGTTCTCTCTCCATAACTGATTTCATGACCTCCCAAGATGTCAGCCACCACTTCTGTGTGGTCGACGCCACAATCATAGCTGTTGTCCCGAGGGTCTTCTGATATTCAGTCTCACTGATCTACTTGGATTTTTCACCTAAATCTCAAACCTTAAACGTTCCAAGCCAATTGCATCATATATATATATTTTACGAAACCAACTCTTCTGATTTGTCTTTATATGTAAATACCACAGTTTCCGTCCAACTCAATCAAACTTAAAACTAAAATTTCATATATTCTCTAGACTCTCATCTGTAGTATCCTTTTGAAAATTTATTGTGGAAATTTATGTG